GGGGGGGGGGGGAGATCTAAAGTGATTGTCGTGGGAGGTCCTGAAAGTAAGTGCTGCCTGCAGGTGTCTAAATGTGCACTTTTAGAGGAATAATTACCGGTAAGTTGCACAACCTCAAACAGCTATATGTGCAGAAGAAACGGGTTTTGATTAGTCTTTTAAGTGGGTTAATAGTTTCTCCAAAACAAGTTGAAAAATAGGACGTGCAGAGAGCAGTGTCCTAGTTAATTTAATAATATTTTATTTAAAAAATAAAACACATGCTATCAATATGATAAACCCAGTATAAGTCCATATCTAAAAGGAGTAGTTCTAAAACTATTAGTTTATGACCATGAAGCTCTAAGGCGGCTGGGAGCTTCTCAGAGACAAGTCCATGCCTCCAATATCCTTGTATCACAGCCCCTGATGTAGCACTTGATTGATTGATTGATTGATTGATTCATTCATTCATTCATTCATTCATTCATTCATTCATCAGACATTTGCTGGATGCCTGCAATGTGCAAAGCACGGTGCAAGGGATCCCATGGAGAACAAGGCACTACCCTTGTCCTCAAGCACTCCACATCCTCGGGGTAGAAGGAAACAATATCAGCAATCAGAAGAACACGGCATGCGGCAAGTCGACAAAGACTGGGGTGAGGGTGGTCTGGCTTGGAAGCCTGAAAGAGCACTGCACGTGAGTATTTTTTTAGGGCTGGAGATTAGAGGGAAGGAACAAAGGCTGCTGATTAAGACCCTAGGAAGCCTTCCCAAGGAATTGGACTTCCTTTTGAATACAATTCGGGGTCACTGAAGGATATTAAACTGGGAGTGGCATACTCACATTTGCACTTTAGAAGATATCCGTGGCTGAACGTGGAGGTTAGGGAAGGAGATAGGAGGCCAGGAGAGAAACCAGGATCTAGCTATGGCCCAGGTGGGTGCTGGTGAGGCATCTCTGGCAGTAAGAAGAGGGAGGACCACAAATACCCAGCGAGGAGGTAGACTCGCTCAGGTGGGAGAGAGCCAGAACGCAGGATAAAAAGCTAATGCCTATGTTTGTAGTTTGGGCAACACATGGATGACGAAGGGACTCAAGAAGACAGCAGGTCTCTGAGGGAATGTGATTTCACTTCTGGGACATGTTGAGCCCGAGCTGTGTCTGCCACATGCTGGTAAAGGTTTCTTAGGTGACAAATGGAAATACAGATCTGACACTCAGGGTAGAGTGCCCATGCATGACAGGTTAGGTATTTATCAGGTCAGTTTGAGTTTGAGGGGAAGTGTAGGAACAAGATACCAGAAAAGTTGCCTAGTTAACACCCAATGACCTGAAACCACAGCAATCAGAGAAATTGTAACCAACACCATCGCCTGGCACATGTGCTCCTCACTGGCCATTGAACTGGTCTTCATTTGCCCACATTAGAGAGGGCCATCCTATGAACAGTATCGGTTAGGGAACGTTCACAGGGGACACTGGGTGCAGTGTCCTGGCCACTGGGCATTTACAGGGACATCATTAAAGATAGGTGGAGCACCTGCTCTCGTAAGAAGGGGTGATAGGCTATGAATGGGATAGAGTGTGCGTTCACACTCGTGTGCACGCTCATGCACACGTGTGCCTGAGAGCAACCTCTTCTGAGATGCCTCACCTTCCACGTTCTTAAAGGCACTGTGTGTATCACACAAAACCCCTGCTTTTCAGACCCCCACCCTTCTGGGACACTTTTCTGAGATAGCCCCTAGTAACCTAGCCATGCTTTTTCCATGTTTGGCTCCTCTGTACAGTGGGCTGCTTCCTCTGTGGCTCTGAGGTCTCTCTAGAGGATCAGAGAGGTCCCCACTTAGGCCTTTGGGGCCACAGCAGCAGACCCACCG